TTTGCACACATTAAATAATTGAAATAGCAACTTTTCTTTTCAGACTGCGCATAGGCAAAATCCTCTCTCCTCCAAAGACCGCTTATAGTAGCCTTTTATAATTATTTTTGCTAATGTTTTATTACTTTAAACATGATTAATATATAACATAAATTAAAATGTTTTCTTTTAATCGTTAACTGCAATTTCAAGCTTTTATAATTTACACTTACTTTGAAACACGTACCTATATATTTTCTCAACAATTTCAGTCATTTTTTTATTCACTGTTTTCAAAAATTACAAAGATTTTGTTTGTTGTTAAGCAAAAATAAAAACCAACAAACAACAACTACACCATGAGCTATCTATACACGCGGGTATCGAAACCCGAATTTTAGCATTAGAGCCTTCAGACTTACCGATGAGCCATCAAGGGTAAGTTAGACCGAACGTTATTTTAAACAAAATTTCGTGAAATGCAAATCATTGACAACCAGAAATGGGAATGATTTTTAATGCATCTTTGGCTTTTTGGCCTGATGTCTTAACAGAACATACTGTTTTGAGTCACTTGGGTGTAGTCTGGATCTTGTAAAGCTGAGCTTATAAAGATCTTGAAGAAATATTTGGAACAGTGAGAATGTTAGGAAATGTTGTTGAGAAAGATGAAAATAAAGACTATTCTGCTTAGGATAAGTACAATACATCGCGTTATGATGAAACCTGAGCCATTCCTTTCTACAATGTTGTTTTTAACATTGCAGAGCTATTGAGCCAAAAAAAAGTACCTAATCAAAGCAGCACAATTATTTTAAATCTGTACTATATACCTTGCTGACGGATAGTTTAAACTCAAATTGACTTGGCATCGTCAGATGGCTAGGGCGCTCGACTCGTAATCTGCTGGTCGCGGGTTCGAATCCCCGTCCCACCAAACATGCTCGTCCTTTCAGCTATGGGGACGTTATAATGTGACAGTCAATTCCACTATTCGTTGGTAAAAGAGTAGCCCAAGAGTTGGCTGTGGGTGTTGATGACTTGTTGCCTTCCCTCTAGTCTTTCACTGCTAAATTAGGGACGGGTAGCGCAGATAGCCCTCATGTAACTTTGCGCGAAATTCATAACACACAAACAAACTCAAATTTTATCAGATTGACTAATGGAGTCGTTGAAATAGCTGTAAAAAACACTAACTCTGAATCTACTATAATGAAGCTATCAGCTACCTCTTTTCCTACAATTGGTTCTCTTAGTGTTACAGACGGAATGAAATTGAAACAAGTCTTCTGAATCAACCTATTATAAGCTCTGTCTACAAAAACTAACTCTGAACTTGAAACATTATCATATTAGAGAAAAAGACAAAGAAAACCCGGGTTTAAATATTTGTATAAAACAATTTGACAGTGTTTCATGACACAAGCGAAAGGCAATCCTTCTTCTCCTCCTCCTTCGAGAGATTGCGTGGGTAGAAAACGAGATTTGTTTCCAACATTAGACTGTTTTTGTTTGTTTTTTAAGTGAAGAACATATAATCAAGATATCTTTTATAACAGACAAATAAGCTGCCATAGGTATGTTTTTATATACTCGCTTAAAGATATCGTTAGAGATGCGCCCTCCAATGACTCAGCGGTAAATATGATGAGGGTTAACACCGCTAAAAACCGCGTTTCAATACTCGTGGTGGGCACAGCACATATAGCCCATTATGTAGCTTTGCACTACAAACAAACGTTTAAGATGCTGCTGGGTATCTCAAAGCTATTATTCACTATGGGATTTTGATATTTCTTCAATATCTATCATTAGTTGGTCTAGCGTTGTAGTTCTGAAAAATATCTATTAAAAATCTATGATTGTTATCACTTAAGACGTGTAGGATAAAAGAAAAAACAACAAACGCCAAAACCAGCATACTTTAACCGATGCGTTGACATAAAATTAATAAACACATTCTTGGGTGTTTGGCCCCGGATCTTGTTATCAACGCTTTACGCTATCAATAGTTTTTTTGAGCGACCTATATATACTTAGTACTTATACACTGTCTAGAATCTAAACTATCTCGAATGCTACTTAAAATATATCTCCCATTTTTCACTTTTGTATTTTATGGTCAATGTATCAAATTGAAGACAACTGTTTTATAAAAAAGCGAGTGGAATGCCTTCTATTTTGGAAAGCGTGTTTATAGAAATAAAACTTTCTCTAAAATATAACTGAAAGAACAACCATTGTCTGGTCATTGCCCTTGCAATATTGAGCAATATTTACTCATGTAGCTTATACAGAAAAAAAGATGTTGCAGTCTAATAAGTGTCTCACTGTGTTTCAAATCTCACTTCATAGCTAGAGTATGTTAGTTAATATTTGTAGGTGCTTCTACCTATTGGTGACTGTTGCCACTAAAATGGTTAGGAATTATAGTTTTTAATCATTTTCGATTATTGCTCTATAATACTTTAATTTGTAACTAGAAATAACCTTTAAGTTTTATATTATATGGTTTAGTTCCAACAGAGCCATTTTGTATTATTCAATCAGTTTCAATGTCTATTTTTAGCAGATTATGTTAATCTATAATCGAGAATGGATCTTTCATTTACCATACATTGAATTTACACTGAAAGATTTACATATACTTTTTTCCGTTTTTCAGGACATTTCTGGTGATAGTTAACAACCAATATAATTCAAATGCTCTGAAGGTGGAAAGTAGAAATTTGCCCACTAAAATTAAGTGTAGTAATTTGTAGAACCCCAAAACAATGCCCCTGGTGTTTCAGTGGCAAATTTAAAAGTTTCGAACGCTAAAAAATCAGGTTTCAATACCAGCGGTTGGTAGAGAACAGACAGCCCATTGTTTAGCTTTGTACTTAACAAAAAAACAATCCAATCCAAACCAAAAAAGTGATTAAAAGGAAAATAGTGTTCTTCTTCTTTTTATAGAGGGTCACTTTTAAGAGCTCCAGAATTCCAAAGGAGGGGTGATAAAAAACAAATCAAATACTAGTGTACATACTAGTGTATAAATGTAATAAATATCTCTATTTATTTACAAAGAGTTGGTCTACACTCAACTGGGCGGCCTCTAAATCTGTTATTGAGACTAGAATTGTCAGACTTAATAAACTTCACAAGTATTCACTTGGTAGTCTGTATTGTTTTTTCTGCCAAACCACCAAACTGAGGGTGATAAAGTGAATTACGAATCATTGCCACACCTAAAACTTTACAAACTCAACAAACAGTTGACTGTTGAAATTAATATCATTATCCGTGTGGATTTCTTTCAGTGCTCCAAGTTGTGCTCTCCAGTTCTCCACTAACACATTTATGATGGTCTGTGCTAGTGTATCGACTAACGGATAAGCTTTGTGAAGTAGTTAATGTCAATAAGTATGTATCAATGATCTCTTGAATTCTCCAGGAGGATACCAGCGATATACAGGGCTATCCTCTGCAAAGAAGACCCAACCATTCTCTTTTTGAATTTACCTTATCTTTGATGGTTTTCCTCTGAGTGGCACACACCATACAGGACTTACACCAGTGCTGAACATATTGACTCACTTGTGGCTGGAAGAACTATCATTGAATGTTAATGCAAGTGGAGCTTACTCTATGGTGACATCCACTCATTGTTGTGCAAAACTTGGAGTATTTCTTGCCCCCAATGCTCTGTGGACCAATAGATCCAGCACTGTTGAAGCACCACTCCTCATTATTTGCAACAATAGTACAGTACCAAGTATCTCTCCTACTTCAGACCATTATGTGTAAGCTTCGTCAGTCACTCAAAAGTAGCTGATGTATTACACAGAATAACTGATATGATGTATAATTTATATAACCCCTTTCTCATGCTAAAAGTAGCCATGGACCTACTCTCATCGTTAAGCTTGACTTTCCAGTATCCAGATACCAGATACATGGTGTTGAACCAAAGATAACCTTCTAATACATCTAAACATTCATCTGGCCATGGCAACGGAAGAGTGTCAATGTATGTTACCATGTTCACCCATCTAAGGTTAACACAGGACCTTGGTGTACTTTCCTTTTTCCTAACAATCACTATTTGGAACAACCAAGCACTCTCTAAAAGTTGTAAGATTCTTGCTACTTTTGTAGTGCTCCAAGGCAGTTGGCATGGTGATTTCTTTATCAGGCATGCATTGCCTATGTCTACATGGTGCTGAGGTACTGTCTATTCAACCCAATTTGCCATGTGGTACCACAAATACATTGGCAAGTTCACCCAAGAAGCTATTGAGAAACCTAACCAAATCGTGATTAGATCTCACTCAATCTCGTCATGCTGATTTTCAAATAGGACTATATTTATTGATCTCCAAGTAGAAACTGATATAAGAAAGTGTACTTGACTTCTATAGGTATGCTCAGTTTGTTTTTCCAATCAACAGTGTCCTCTTGTGACATATGTTTTTCAGAACACACAGATAACGCTAACTCGGCCAGAAAAGATATCACACTAATTTCAACATGTTTCCAAGTATTGCTCGATATCCTTTCGGGCAGAATAGACATCATCTACCATGGAGAACAAAGAAACAAAACAACAATAACAAAGAAACATTAAAGAATTTCTGTACCAAAAGTTTATGTTAAAACGGCATAGAAACTATGAAAACGAAATAAATTTAAAATTGATATATGACTAAAGCAGATATAAAAATTATGATATGCTTGCACATCAAATTAGAAAATCTGTCCGGCCATCATTTCATATAGTCAGCTATAAGCCATAAACATATTATAAAATAACCGTGTTTTATTTTTGCAATATTCATAACTTTTCGCTTTAAATTATTATGTTTTATTTGTTTATTGATTTTGCGTTTATTTTATTTCTGTTTGGAAAATCACCTGAAATCTATTGTCGACTCCATGAAATTCTTCTTGTGTATTTTTATAAAAGTGCTTTTTAATTTTAACCAAATATATTTGATTAACATTTACCACTAGATGGCAAGATAAGCGATTTATATATATATATCTATACCGATGTTGATGATTAATACTAATAATTAGTTAAATTACATTTCGAAGTGAGTCATTGTGAATTCTGTGTAAATCGTAACGTATATCTTCTATTTATTATTTCATCATTTAGTAAGTTATTTCATATTTACTAATGTTCATATAGCTTTTATATGTTTGTGATTCACATTAAAATTTTGAAGTGACATAGGCTAACTTCACTGTAAAGTAACGTATGTTCAGACTACTAGTACTAACCAACTAAGTACTATAATTTATAAATTATAATTCATTTAATTTTTTTTTGTTATTATTTTGTGAGTTACCTTGATAATGGCGTTGTAATTTTGAATTGTATTATGTTATATTGTTACACCCATCACTTATTCTTGTTCGACCCTTTTATATTTTTATTATTAATGTTATTTTAATTTATATAATAGTATTACTATTAGTATTAAACTAGCAATAAGAATATATAGTATTATTAATCATCTTTTATTCAATAAATGAAAAACTTAGAACATTCTTTTAGTTTAAAAGTTGAATTAAAACAATCTTTTTCACGCTGCTGTTGTGCTGGATACAATTACAAGTTTTCATTCGTGACTACTTATTAAATTTAAAGTAACTTAAGCCTACATCATAATTTGAAACTGTCACTGCAGACTTTACACATGACTCATGTGGTAATACTACCAATGATATTGCAGAATTAGGATGAATCAGAATCACATGGCTAATAGTAATATAAACCTTAAGTTAGAAGATAAAATAATACTAATAGTTACTGCGTAATTATATAGGCTTATAAGTTATATGCATTAATTAATAAATTAGTGCTAATGTTAACAATAACACTTTTCAATCTGCTTGTGGCATAACTTTCTACACTGCTATTATATAGTATTAAGAGTTATGCTTATTCAAGTTATTGTAATGTGATAACTGACCACATGAAAAATGTAGTAATTTAAATTTTTATTTCTCCAACCAACAAGATAGTAAATTTGTAAAACAAATTGCCAGTTAAAATCTTTACATGAATGTAAGAGAAAGGTTTTTGAGGGATCATTGTTGGATTTAGTTGATGGCAGTGGGGAGTCAGGACATGAAAAAAGGTCTCTTCTGACATTCTGTCCTATAATTTATAAATATTATAATAATCTCATATTTTTTTCTGTAAAGTAATAAATCATTAAAATATTTTTTATAAATTATTATGTTTTACATAAAATATTTCCAGCTGTCCCATGGAATAATACGTTAGACTTAGCAAGTAAACAAACTAATATATTTGAAGTTAATCAAAATACATTTTCCTGTTTTGATCATGCCTGGATCTTTTATAATTTTGTTTATATTATATGTCTTTTGATTATATGGATGGTGTGTTAATCTTAATGTGGGGTCTTCTTTTCAGGTCAGGTAAGTATTATTGTAGTTGCTGTACTAATTTGTACTGTCACTGGTGTGTGTAAACGAGTATTTTTAATTCTTCTACAATCTGAAACTTGGTAAAATGAAAATTTAACAGTTTGAGTATTATCGATTTCATGGTGTGCTTTTTTTCTTTTTTGAGTAGTTTGTTTTAAGCCTATTTCTTTTTCTACAATGTACATGTAGGAACTTGTAGCACCAATAATCTGAACATAAGAAGTATGATGTAAGAAGGCTATTTAGCCCATCAAGGTAACACTTACCTGCAAGAAAGTGAAAAAATAGTAAAGTTGGATATAGCTCTTCATATTGATACAAATGAAAAATGGAGTTTTCAAAGATTCAATCTTTTTTGTGCATACCACATCATAAGATATATCACTCCAAAAGCTTTTAACTAATCAAAAACACACCTGTCAAAGGAGTCTACGAGGGGTTATTTGTACATAACAGTCCATTTTAAACTGATAGGCTAAATATTGAATATAAGTCTAAAACCTCATCATTTCACTGTATAAGCCACTGATTAGATTCTATTGGAGTACCGTGTTCATTTTGAGGCTCCTTCCCTTAAGAAAAGGACATTTAGTTGTTTGAAGAGGTTCAAAGGAGGGCTACAAGAAAATCTGAAATAAAAAGGTTGTCATACGAGGATAGGTTAAGATCCCCAAAACTGATTTCTCTTGAAAAAAAGAAGCCAGAGGAGATCTGATTAAGATGTTAAAGATTAGGGGAATTGATAGTATTGATGCATAATCTTTTTTCATACTTAATGGTGAGAAGTGTAGGACTAGGAGACACAAATACAAATTTTGGCAGAATAGGAGTCATCTTCAGCAAAGATGGTTTTATTTTTGTAACAGGATGGTTGATCTTAAAACGGGTTGCCTTTGAATGTGGTGGATACAGTAAACTTAAGGCAGTTTAAGGGAAGAATTGAACATTTCAGTAAGAGCTGGCTTTGAGGGTGTTTTATTATTATTGTCTTATTTGTATTAAAGTTTAGTGGATAGGACAGTCTTGATGGATGAACTGGCCTGTTGTCCTTAAATGTTATGTTACATTAAGATTTCTAGACCTTCATCCTGTACTGTTGCACTTAATTTTAGGTTTTTATATCCAAACTTTTCCACCAGTTGGAGAAAGAATCCATTAAGAGATTGTTCAAACCACATGAAAATTTTAAAGATCTTAAGTCTTCTATAGTATTTTGTGCTTTATTGAAAAGTCCAAGATTTAGCCTCACCTCATAACTTAAATGACATAAACCAGACATTATTCTTGTAGACTAACAACACTTTACAACATTGGAAATCCTGTATTTCAAAACCAAAACTGCACACAGCACTTGAGTTGAGGCCTCATCAATTTTTAAATAGTTACAATAATCTTCTTGTTCTTAAATTCAAAATTCCTGAAGCTAAAACCAAAACTATTATTTCTTTTTTACCATTGCTAGATATTCAGTAGAGAGTTTACTGTTTTATGAAGAATTCTACTTAAATTATTTTTTTTTCAAAATACCTGCACTCCTCTTATCAAAGAAGTGGGTCCTTTTTAAATTTCTCTATCCCCACATGCAAAAACAGTATTGAATCTCATTTTCACATTTTGGGCTATACATTGAGAAAGTCAGTACCTTTTAGTAAGATGTATTCATAATGGAGTTATTTCAAATAATTTAATATTATTTGTGAATTTAAAAGTGTTTCTGTTCAAGATGATGACTAAAGGGTAAAACCATGTAAAAGTGAACTTGTTGCATGAAAAATAATTTCATAACTTATGGTTTATTGGCATGAAAATCATCTCTTGTTTGCTAAAAAGTAACATATTTGTTATATTTTTCCATATTCATGCAAGATATTTAAAATATAGGTTTTGTACGATTAGGAATGTGTCTGCCATGACATAATGCGTCATATCAAAGCTAGTTCACTTTACATGATCTCCTTAAAAAAATAGCACCTTTTTAATACCTAAATAATGCTGTTAACTCCAAAAAAATGTAATTAACCATAAAATGGAATACTTTTATGTACTATTAAAAATCTTTTAATTGATGAGTAACGTCCATTACAAAATTTTTGACTAAAAAAAACGTTTCTACAGCCCTTCAACACTTGCTAGTTAATACTTCATAACATTTTGAACAAAGCTGGTTGGTGGCCACAATGTTCAGCCAATAAAATTAGTTAAACTTTGTCATTCAGTTAGGTTTTCTATCTTGTAATATTGTTAATGCCATTTTATTGAGGTAATATAGTGACTTTTAAAGCAATGAAGCTATCAGAATAATATAAAATTGATTATACTATGCTACAATATAAAAGTAAGTTCTTCTTTGCTAACATGAGTTGCAGAAAGATATTCCTACTATGGTAAGTCTAACTTATACTGTTAACATTATACAAGTTAGATCTACAGTACATTTGACTTGTTGAACATTGCTGATATTTCTTTTATTACGTTTTAATCATTAATATTTTGGTATATGATCTCATTTTAAAATCATGTTTAGTACATATTTAGATTTTGTAATTTTAACCATATGTTTCTTGTTATTTTTGTTTTAAATATGGGTAAATTGTGAAGCTTGGTTACTGAAGAATGTAGAAAAAAAGAACTTATGAATGTCATATTGTTTGAACTAGTTAAGTACATATATAAAAAGCAAATAGTTTGGCCAAAGTTATCAATACGGCTGACATGGCTAGATGGTTAGGGCGATCAACTCGCAATCTGAGGGTCGCGGGTTTGAATCGCCGTCACACCAAACATGCTCGCCCTTTCAACCGTGGGGGCATTATAATGTGACGGTCAATCCCACTATTTGTTGGTGAAAGAGTAGCCCAAGAGTTGGCAGTGGATGGTGATGACTAGCTGCCTTCCCTCTAGTCTTACACTACTAAATTAGGGACGGGTAGCGCAGATAGCCCTCGTGTAGCTTTGTGCGAAATTCAAAACAAACAAGTTATCAACAGCTTAGCACACTTCAGTAAGTATCTTAAACCCAGTGGCAATGTAGGTTGCAATTCCACCACATCTGTCACACACCAATTTATCCTATTTATAAAACATTAAACTTGAAGTAAGAAAGAAACTAACAGGAAGTATAAACAATAAAAAAGAAAAAAAATGTTTTTACATATACAAGTGTCCCATCTGTTACAATGGATTTTCTTTAAATAGTTGATATCAATAATGAACAAGAAAGGCTTAAAGGTAACCAGTCCCCCCCATATGACTTGCTAATCACATTGTTCTGATTAGAAAAATGCCCATATATAGCAATTTATTATTTTCTGTCACTAAGCCAATTTTTACCTACTTTGAAACAGTTCTTTGTGTATCCAGTGAAATAATCAATTTATTGTAAAGCACCTTATCAAAAGGTCAAGATTGTGTGGGATCACACAACAAGAAAAAAAAAAAAAGGCAGCAACCATATGAAAAAACACCAACAAACTTGTAAGGTAAAATCCCCTAATCTGAAACCATGCAGGAAATCATTATGATGTTAACCTCGTGGTTATTTATAGAGGTATTGAGAATGTTGAAATATTACAGAAGCTTAGCACTTCAATCACTTCCATTTCTTCCCCATTTAAAATCTAAAGGTCCCACATTATTCTTCATGGCTTTTTTTTTTAAATAAAACTCTTAAAGACAAATTTGACATTTTTACTTAAGGTAGTTTTTTAATAAATCTTAATCTTAACTGTAACATAAATGTTCCGACTTCTATGTGTTTTATTTCTCAGAATTTCAGCATCCTTTGTTTTTCTGGTGATTTTCGTGTTCTTGGAAAGTTGGAATTTGTTAGTGGCTAGAAGTTTTGGGAAAGGGCTTCTGATTGGAATGCAAAAAATAAAAACATCCCAAGCTTCATTAGTGTTTTCCTGGACACTACCACCAATGAAATATCAGACCAAACCAAGCCTTTATAGTAGTGAGGTATTGAAAATCGAACTGGTGTATTTAAGTGTTCTACACTCACAAAAAAGAAACCTATCATACTATAAGTATTTGAAGAACTTGTAGCATTCCACCACAGTTTAATTCTTCGTGTTGTTAGCCTACACTGGGCAGCTTGTACGTAATTGAGTTGTTTGAACATTTGTTTAACAACAAGTAAAACACTTGTAATACATTGCAGACTTCAGGTTTGTGCACAGACCTAGATTTTGTTTGTAGGCATGATGTCTTAAAAGCTTGTTCACTAACTTAGATTTGATGTATGCTGTTTGTTTGAAATTGCTTAAACTGTTTTAGGTAGATTTGCAGATGAGAGAAACTTATTAAGTAAAGTTGATTGTTCAAAATGTGAAAGGGTGGCCTTGATATACGAAATGACCCTCTGTCATCTATTTTGTTATTATATATTGAAATGTAAAAAAATTCTGAAGGTACATAAAAAAAAAAAAAAAATAATTTGAGTAAAAATCTTTGGCTATCAATATACAATACAGTATAAATGAATGCATTTGTTTACAAGATTAAAGTTTTTTTGATTTTACATGAGTATAACAGTTTCACTTCGTGTTTCTTAGCAGACAATTATGCAAAAGAAAACTTTGTTTTTTCTAGATTCATAGAGCATGCCTTCCATAAAGGATTCAAGTGAATTGACTCCAGATCCCCATACTCGTGTAAGACAACTTGGTGAAGTGGGTAGTTCAGTGGTTGTGGATCCTAACATCCCTCCTCATCGTTATTTCCGTTCTGGAAATGAAATGGTTAGAATGGCAAAGGTATATATGGATGAGCAAAATCTGGAAAATGCATTCATACTTTATACAAAATACATCACGTAAGTACTCTTTATTGTAAACATTTTGTAAACGTTACTGAATGGAGTGATGAAAGGATAAGATTGGAGATGAAATTGTGAATTTTAAATGAGATAATTGTAAGATTTGGAAGCCTCGGTCAAGATTGTTCAAATGTTTTCCATGTTAGTTATTAGCTTGACCAGATTATATGGTGTGCGTGAGCATGTAGTGTAAACTTCTTAGTTTTTGAATGTGAAGTGTTACACTTAAGTTGGGCTGACTTAATTGTTAGATGACCTTGATGGAATAAATTGCCTTTTATTACCTAGTCTTGTATTGAAAATCTGTTCACACTCTGTTGGACAGATATGCACCTTTTTGTTATTTTATGTTCTGTTTTTTTTTTTGTTCTTGAATTAAAATGATAACTATTTTCTTTACTTATTTCAAAGATCTTGCAGTATTTGTAAAATTAATGGTAATATTAGATATGAACTATGATATTAAACATTAATTTTTCTTATTATTGATGTAGGCTGTTATTGGTTTTTTTACTTGTTTGTTTTTATAGTGAGTTTATTCATAAAAAGATATTTCTGGTCAGGAAAACACTAAACCTAAAATCTCAATTAACTTTATTTCTTTACTAAATGGATTATTAAATTGTATATTTTAATCATGTGAACCTTATGAAGAAATGATTAACATTCCATTATATTGGTGCCAACATAGTTTCTTGCAGGTAATATTAGAAATGTTGCTCATATTAAATTAAAGTGTTATTGATTTTGATTACATAGTTTTTATAAAAAGTGTGTAATAAGTATCCAAATTATTCTTTCAGATTATTTGTTGAGAAGCTGCCAAAGCATCCTGACTACAAACATGCATCTGCTGCTGAAAAAGCTAATACAAAACAAGTATGAATATACAGATTGTTTAGTAAATCATGATATTTGAGTATGGGTAGAGACAGAAATATCAAAAACTTTTAAGAGTTGTTTTTAGTTTTGGTTTTCTTACTATATGAAGATTATTGATATGCTGGTACTGAATTTTTTTAAAGTAAAGTTACTACAAAATAAATTAATATAACAAATATTATCACGTGAATATTTAAAAATGGTTAGAGATAAATTGTGGAAATTTTAAGTTTTCTATTCACATGGTTGTCATTAGAGACCAAACTATTAAATGTGATCTTTAGAAGCTGTGTCCAATGCAATTTTATCCCAGAAGAATTTTTTTTGTTTTTAATTTAAATTAACTTACCAAACTATTCTAAGAACATGAATTGATTAATTTTATAAACACACAAGATTTCAAGTAAAGATGGAAAGTCTTCTTTCACATCAGGCAGTATGATATAAGCCCAACATGAATTAAATCTGTTTCATACACATTAGTATAGCTTATAATTTAAGTTCTTTTTCTGTAGGTTAAGCTCTCCAACTTTTGTATCGTTACGATTGTAAATTTGTTGTTAATGAACATGTTTCGCATGATTATTTCTGAGGTTCTTATTTTCTCTGTCATCATCTTTTTTTTAACAATTTACTGGAAAACATTAAATGTAAAATACAGGAAAATTTGGAGATATTTTGTGACCAGTTTATTAATAAGTTAATTTTAATGAATAGTAAGAGGATTCAGAACTTGTTACTGAAAACAACAGTTTATACAACTGGTTATTTAGGGAAGAAATAAGAAAAATTTATCAGTAACAATGATAAGTAGATTTAATTGGTTTTCTCAATTAAGACTGCTAAAATAGCATTGGAATGCTTCATGTAAAATGAACTTTGTTGTTACTTAAAATAGATTATGTTTCAACAATGTGGGAGTATGAAACTTGCCTTTTAGACTTAATTGAATAAACCATGTACATTTTTATCCTAGATATAATTATATATTTGTAACTTTGATTTTATGTGTGGTTTTACTTTCTCTTTACATGGTGTGTGCATGCCCTATAATATTTGTATAAAATGTTTGATTTCATTACTTGATGTGAAAGCAGCATCATTTGAATAAAATATGCTTGATAATTTACAGAAGCTGAAACAGATTTTCCCTGTAGCAGAGCAGTTGAAGTCCAGTTTGTTAGAGGCATACAATAAAGAGTATGAACAGTGGTTAGAAGAAAAGGTATGTTGCTTTTAACAACATTGATATCTACCTGATTTCTGTGTTTCCTTAATATTGTGTATTTCATAAAGAAGCATGTACATTTTTGTATTGGAAGCAAGCTGGAAATTAACCCTATAAAAATGAAGCTGGTTGATTTGAACAACCTCTGAATTATGAAACTATAAATACTATAATTGTGAATTTACTTTGCGTGTATCTTCACAAACTTTACCAAGCTTTTAGTAAACATCACAAGTCTTTTATATATAATGAAGCTGATTTTTTTGAATAAAACATTTCTGCTGAAAGTTTATCTGTTAATTTCTGAAGCCTTTACTGAATTAGTCTGAGTTAAGAGTGATTTTCGTGCTACAAATAAAGATACTTGTTTTCATTTTAGTGTTTTGTAGTTACTTTTATAATAATAACAAAATAATCATAAAAACAAAGTTAATACTTAATGTGTGGACCTTGTACATTTTTTGCAGTTTAAATTTTTAAAAAAGTTAACCCTATTATTTGGTAGGATTGATGTTAGTACTTTACTGATTATTTATTTATTTCAAATGTATCATTTGGAATACAAGGTAACATCCACAAAGATTATAATAACCTAAAACTATTATATTTTAAATGGTTTTCTAACTGAAGCTATGGGTGCATTAAAATGATTCCCTTACCTGGTTGAAGTGACCTTGGAAATAGCAACAGTGATCCTGTTGTAAGAATAAGCTAGTCATATATTTAAATCAGTAAACTGAAATTTTCTTTTTCTGTTGGTTATAAACCAAGATTAAATGTCAGAATTATTGAAGTTTTGTGAAAGACACCATGTAATTGAAGGGTGTGGCATGTGAGTTTGACTTTCTGGCTTATACCTCCATAAGGTAAAATATAAAATTTAGACTATTTCCCAGCAGTATCTATACTAGGAGTTCTCAGACAGTTTTTAAAGGCCTCTCTCTTTGAAAATATTTCAGTCTGTGGTGCCCCCTCGTGCACATACAAAGTGATAGTAAATTATTCTGATGTACTATAACATACCCATTATCACTTTTTTTTATTATCTCATAACCCCCCCCCCCACCCCCCACCCCTATGCAAATAGCCTTCTGATCCTCCTTTGGGTCAGGACCCACAGTTTGAGAAACACTGATCTATGCTATAAATGTATAATTTATGTTCAACTGGGGACATCATATAAGAAAAGTAAGAATGTTTAAAATGAGCATTATGGAGAAAACAAATGTCATGTGATACAGAGAAGTAAAGACTGATAATTTATTTGAATATTTCCTTTTGAAATTAAGAAATTAAAACATATATAATATTTAAATTCGAATTATAAACTACTTTTTGATGCCAAATTTATTAACATGCATTGATAATGTAGTTGTTTAATTAATTTTGTATATTTTAACCTCCACCAATGTATATAGGGTTAACTTGTTATAGCTGAAGGTCTGTGTTTATTTTCTAATTGAAGTACTGCTGTTACTCTTTTCTGTTTAGCTGTTTATTTGTTATTATATATAAGTATTTTAATTAATCAACGATATTGTTAAAAATACTCCGGATTGAAATAGTGACTGTTAAATAAAGATTTGTTTTGCTTAGGGTGCTCTTGCAATGCAAGATTAGTATATGTAGCTATATGAGTATTGCATGTATCATCAAATACATGTACATAATGTAATTTTTTTTTAAGATAAAAACTTGATTACTGTTCCTTATAACGTATTTTTAACATGACAAGTTTATTGACAATACATTGATGATGAAATTTAATTAAATTTGAACATAACACTGTAAAATCTCGTAACATGCATGTTGACCTGGCCATACAGAAACTTTATTTGCCTTGTTTTTAATGAGGATTTTTTCAGACCATAAGGGAAAAAGTACTGTTTATGTAGAGAAAAAATTTAAATTCTTTTAATAATACAACGACGATTACTAAACTGTGATTTTATAAGGCCTTAAAACAATTTTGTGGTATGTTTTACCCAGCAATATTGAAATAATAAAAATAAATTAAGTTTCCCTATCTTATAATATCATAGACATTTTTTTTTGTTTTTAATAATGCAATCAGTATATTGCTAGTTTGTTTATATATGTATCGTGAACAGTCCTAATTAAATTATATTTAAGAAATAATTCTATAACAGTGAAACATATTTTCCAACTATGTAGAGGAGAATAGAAGAAGCTGTAGAGCAGGAAAGACGAAGAAAACAGGAAGAGGAAGAGCGTAGACAGAAGGCAGAACAAGAACGAGCCACATTTGAGAAAGAGAAGCAGTGGCGACTTGCTCAAGAACGTGAGAGACAAAAGTTGTCCAACTACTCCCAAGATGAAAGGGTTCTTCCTGAAAACCAGCTTTATCCTGGAGAACTATATCCAGAGTCCCCGATGGACACTAGAAATAATTCCCATTCTAGAGATAATTTAGTGCTTGATGAAGGATTGGGAATGAATGAAGATATACCTGTGGTTGTATCACCAATTGAAGATATGTAAGATAATCTTTTTCTTTGTTTCAAAGCTTAATTTGTAAATTGGGATTATTGTAAAATGATTTAAAAGTTGATATCCTAAACAACAACAAGTTATCCAGCCATATAGTTCAAGAAATATAGGTTTTTTTTTGTAGTATATACATGTTCTTTCTCATGGTATATGAACAATTCAAAGGTGCTACTGCTTAATGAAATAAAGGTTCCATTAAAATAGCTGGAATAATTTAAGTGGTTTACTATATCTAACAGAATGAAATAATAATTTAAAAGATGCTGGTTTTGGTATAAAACTATTTATGAAATTGAGGGATGTAAATGAAAAGTCTAACATTAAATAGAAAATTAGAAGAAAATTGCTAAAGTCAATATAAAATGTTCTTCCAGAAGATTTACAATGCTTCTAAGGAAGAAGACCTATGTATGAAAACTTTGAGTTGTAAAATATGAAGAGATTAAGATGCACTATTTTTCCCCCAGATTTTTTATTTTCTTCTTGTTTTCTCAGGATCATTGGAAACCTTCCTGTACCAGTAGTGGATCGTTCCACTAAACCAAGCTCTCTTCTAAGTCCTGGACCTAGTTCTACTCATGCCTTTGGTCTCCGAACAGTGATAGTACCTGTTGGTCTCATGGATAGTTTTCTGCAGCTAGCTCAATCCAATACCAGTCAAAATGTTGAAACATGTGGAATTCTCTCAGGAAAGCTGGTGAGATAACACTGTTCAAAGTACATATAAGAATTGCGAGATTATCTTAAGAAAATTGATGAGATATAACTGTATAAAGTATATTTAAAATATTTCATGAATATCAGTGAAATTAAACTATTAAGGTATATTTGAGAGGTTAAGTATTAACTTGGTAGTAGAGGATTGTTCAAAGAATGAATAATACATTTTAACTATGAATTTCAGGTCAAAGTATGCAAATCATCTCCTTTTTTCCAGAGTCATATTCAAAATTTAATGAAGCTACATCATTATTAAAGTATATCAGTAAATGTGGTGACAAAACATAGTTTACATTTAAATTTTGATATTACCTAGGGCTTAATGTCTTAATTTCAAAAGGAAGTATTTAAAAATTCCAAACCTTCACTTTTCCCTGTCACATGACATATTATAATCTCTCCAATTTAATAGGTTTTTAACTTAAACGGTACTTCTTCTATAGTACCTAACCAACTGCATTTGAAACCAATTATTTACTCATGCTTGCTTGTATGATGAACATGTTTATAAAAATATAAAGAGCATATTGTAGTGTAGAGAAATCTTCAGCTTGGTAGTTAGCAAGAAAAGCTTGAAGTATGTTTAGCAAAATCATTGCTCTAAACAGTAATGGAATTTTTTAACCTATTTATGGCTTAGTTAGAAAGCTGGATAAATTATAGTACTTTTGGTTATGTGTTCTAATCTCTCCCATTTAATAGTTTTTTAACTTCAACAGTACTTCTTCTATAGTACCTAACCAACTAGAATTGTAAACTACATACTTACAAGGAAGAATGTAAATTTTGAGCTTCCTACTTTCTTGATTTAATGAGACATCAGTAAGTTTGTGAAGTCCACCAGAAAAACACTTTCAATCTTTTCATCCATTTCAAACCAATTATTCACTCATGCTTGCTTGTATGATGAACATGCTTATAAAAATAGAAAGAGCATATTGTAGTGTAGAGAAATCTTTAGCTTGGCAGTTAGCAAGAAAAGTTAGAAATATGTTTAGCAAAATCATTGCTCTAAACAAAAATGGAATTTTTTAACCTATTTATGGCTTAGTTAGAAAGCTGGATAAAGTATAGTACTTTTGGTTATTCTAGCAATGCTTCAAAAGAAAACTTACTGGTTAAATTCTTGCTAAGTTTGAAGAAAACTTGTACCCTGGATAATAATACTTATAATTATATTAGACCAGTAGGTTCTCACACAAGCACACTTTATAAGGGCTGCATAAGATTCACAATTCTTATTGCCCCAGTAGACCTGTTTCAATTAGAAACTGTTTAAATTCTTCTGTTCATTTTTAACTGAATTTACATTTAATAACTACATCATAAAAAACAGTTTTGATTTTCCCGATAATGTTAGAAACTTGAGGCTGGATGAAGATGTTTATTTACCCAGAATAGATATTGAATCTCTGTTCACTAATCTTTCCATAGATGAGACTGTTGAACTTTGTCAGTTTTTTTTTCAAAGACAAGTATTGTGTTAATGAACTTAGTAGACAATCTGTCAGACAACTGATGGAATTTGCCATGTAAACTGTTTTTCGTGTGAGTAATGATTTTTATGAACAGATTGATGAATTCAGCATTGGGCTAGCTTTACACCCAAGTTTTAATCACAGATTAGGTATTTTAAAAGCATAAAGCTTTACCCACAAAAAAAAACTTTTGATATTAATTTACGAGATTCTAGAGTTTATGCGAGTGAAATAAGAAACTGTAATATGGAAAGAAGTATTCTTATTTTTATCTTGAAAATCACGTTTCACTCTTTAAAGTGCTATAAATCTTGTGATTTGATAAATCACAACCTGTGATAAATCACTTCAACCTGTAAATTTTCTTTTTATTGAACTGTACAACCTGAACTAAATGGAAGTCCAGCCCGGAGCTACAGACTTTTACTTAAATAATCACCAATGCAACAAAAGTATTTTTGATAGGAATAGAAAAGTTTTGTGAGAATAAACAACCAGAGCTTTGATTTTCTTTTTCTTTTTTTTTCTCTCGACCTTCAATGTGTCAGTATGTATAAATATATTATGATGTCAATGCTGACTGCAAATGTCACATTACATCTTTCAACCTTCTAGGATGGTCTGACCAAATACAAAAATGTAGAGTATTAATAGAGAAAATAAGGTCACTGTAACATGCCAGTTTACTTATACTGCAGAAGTGAAGGTAGTCAAAATGCTTATTTTATGTCCATATGTCAAGACTAGTAGACAGACTTACAGACTTGGCATAGGTTGGTTGGAGAAAGGAGGAAGAGAATATGTGTAAAATGGACTAATAGATAAAGAACAAACCATTAGATCCTTGTTAACAGACAGTTTGCAGAGCATGCATACAAAAATAAAAAAAACTGGGCATAAATGAACGAGGTAGCAGACAAGTGAGTACAAAGATTAAGTTTCTGTTTTTGTACCATTTTTGCATTATAATGAGTTTACTTATATTTTAATCAGTTGAATATGGAAGGAATCAACTTGGGATTAAAATGACAATCAACAATTGAATTTTGCATCTAAAATGTCTGGCCTAGGAGCTATGGGCTTCTTGGGCAGAAAGTTTACATTGTCTGACACCCTGCTAGTCTAAGCTTTTTCTAAATACCATCCTATATATGAAATTTTATAGAAAATGTTGTTAACAGGATCATTTTAAGGTTACAATGGCCTAAGCATTTAAAAAGATTCTAAGTGATAAATGAAATTGTGAAAATACCATCCTGTACTTGAGAATTTATGTGACAAAATACTGTTTAATGGGATAATTTTAGGGTTATAATAGACTTTGCTTTTACAAGCATATTTGACAAAGGTTTTAAGAGCAAAACAAATTAAGATAATTTAAATGGAAACATTACAAAAAGTGATGATATTCCTCAAATCTAAGACTAGAAAATATAAGCTCAAAAGCTAACAAAAATAGTACAATACTCAAAATCTGTTTTTTATTACAGGAAAAGAATTTTGTTAAAGAAAGGAAAAAAGAAGAATCTATAGTTTTATTATTCATTTAAACCGTGTTTAGGCAACAAAAACTAAGTTTCAGAAGTTTTGCCAATTTAGCTTTTTAAATTTAACAAGGCTAGAAACAGTAAGACTACTTATCATTACTTAGAAATGTAACAGTGCCAGAAACAATGACTACTCATCCATATTTAACTATGGAAAATTGTTGTTTTTTAAGTGTTGTTGTTGTTTTTTTAGTTGAGTGTGAGATTATCCTAGAGTAGTTTTAATTCGTTGATGAATATTTCTTTTCGTTTTGTTTCCTTACTAAAAAAATGTTTGATAATTGTTTTCAAAGTATTTTGTGCATGAGCATATAAAACAATCTACTCTCTCAACTTGTGAAACTTTGGACTATAGCAATAATACTTTCCTATAAACTTTATCATAATAGAGACTCTAACAGAGAATGAACCTTTAATGATAATAATTAAGCACACAACTATTTAATGAATGTAAACTAACTTATCAGCTAGAACTAGAATTTAGTCATTTTTGTTATTTACAACAGAACTTAAAAAATTGGCTACACTTTGAGAATGCCTGTGTGAAATATAGTCTTTATGTTGAAGCATTTGTGTTGTCACTCATATTCTTTACTAGTATTGCTTTTAAATCTCAATATGTCATTGGGACTTCAATCTTTAAAAGCTTGGCAGACATGAAATAACTTATAAAGTTTAGATAATCGTATACATTATTAGTAAAATTATTGCATTTTCATGTATTAAGATATATCAACATTTAAAAACAAATCAAGTTATGAGGTAAAATTTTAAATAAGACTTTTGTAATGATAATGTGTTCTAAAAATTGTGAAAATAAGCATACTTGTAGATCTAAGTGTGCAAAATTTGATGCAAAAAGATCAGCAAAACATGGTTTAAAAAAAACCTGGAGGAATGTTTCTTGATGATTTTTGAGTTGATAGTTTATGAAAAATGTCTTGTAATTTTTTGTGGATACATACAGGCAGTAATTTTGTGTTCTCTCTCTAATTTTTAGTGTCAGAACAGATTTACTATTACCCATCTTCTTGTTCCCAAACAACGAGGTACTTCAGACTCATGCTCCACTGACAATGAAGAAGATATATTATCGTATCAAGATGAGCATGATCTAATCACATTAGGTTGGATACATGTAAGTCTTATAATAGTTCACTTATGTCTTATGAGCAACCTAGGTATTAAATACTAAACATTTTTCCAAAATTTTACAGTATTTTCTTGTTTAGCTTTTATTTTAACTTTGAACAATGATTTTCAGTTTTTCTCTCATATATTAACATTGGATATACAAAGTATTTCTGTCTAGTTAGAAATATATAATTGCATATATTATAATTCTTTCTTTGGCTCTTAAATTTGTAAATTAAAAATAATTTAAACTAAAAATGGCCCTACAGTGGTGAACTTGCAATGCTAGAAACTGCGTTTCGATACCCATGGTGGGCAGAGCATTGTGTAGCACTGTTCTTAATTACAACCAACCAATGAACCACTAAAGATGGAAAGATGGAATTGTGTTAACTTACAAGTAGCAGAAGTTTACCTTTTGAAAAAAAATCAATGTGAAAATCAATAAGTTTTTGCAGAGAATCTACTTTGATATTTGTAATATTTCACTTGATTAGCATAAAATAAATATACACATTTAAGAAAGAAGAGTTTTAGGCTTCATAAGTGTGAGATTATTAAGAGCTTCAAATTTAAAATTAAAAGGGGCTAGTCATTCTGAAGTTAGAATAATATTTAGTAAGGAACTGTTTTAACATTCAAATACCATGTAACACTAAGATTCAAATACTATGCAAGCTTTGTTTTTAAGTAAAGGAGTAAGGTTTTGTTTGTTTGAAGTTAAGCACAAAGCTACACAATGGGCTATCTGTGCTCTGCCCACTACGGGTATTGAAACCTGGTTTCTAGTGTTGTAAGTCCACAGACATAATGCTGTGTCACTAGGGGCTAAGTAAGGTTCTGGAAGGTAATCATGTTAAAAATAGCATTGGTAGAACCTGTACCATGTTTTGAATTGTTAAATTATACCTTTAATACTTCTCTAATACACCTAAGAACATTTTGGAAATATTTCTTGTTAGTTTTGAAATTTTTGTCTAAAATTCTATAACATCTAATAAAGCTGTTCAAATAGGCAAAATTTATGGGTGATGTTTTTTTTTTAGGGAATTAAAGATAAGTTTGAAAAAGAAATTTTTATTAAGAACCCAGTGCAATTTAAACAGCTAAGTAAAAGTTCCTACAGTGACATCCTAATGTGCTTTAGAACATCATAAAACAAATGTTTTGCCTCACAGTTTATTTATTTATTTATTGTAGACACACCCATCACAGACAGCCTTCATGTCCAGTGTTGATTTGCACAGTCACTGCTCTTATCAGCTAATGATGCCAGAGGCTATTGCTATTGTTTCATCTCCTAAATATCAAGAGTAAGGTTTTTAATAAAGAAGATTTTGATTAAATGAACAATATCAAACTTGTTTTAAATCTTTGACTCTTACATGAAGATTCTTAGGACAGTTACATGTATCAAGTTGAAATTAGTGTTGATTTTGACCTTCCATTACTAGTTCAGAACATATCTGTATTAAGGTATATTCAGATAATTTTTCTAAAGGTTTATGTAGGTGTTCTGCATTACTTTATGATTTCATTGTAAACTAGATATAAAGATATTGTAAACATGTACTGATCATTTTGCTTAGTTAAATGACAATGGCTGTCTCATAGAAACTTGTACTAGTTTGGTCCTGTATTTGTTCCCTCAGATAGGGCAAGCCATCTCAAGGGTTAACATGCATAGATACCTGTACAAATAAATTGATACAAATTTATGGGTTTCTTTCTTTTGAATATGTCATTTGTAAAAGTCTTTGACATAGGTAATCTATGAAATATAGGATGCCACATTAAGACCTCTTTGTCTGACATGAAAGTGTGGTGTAATGGTATTCTTGCTGTCCTTGTCATGTGCAAATGTTTTTGGAAATCCATCTCTAGCCCTAGCAAACAGTAAATTAAAACAGAAAGTAAGTAGTTAGTCAGTTTGTATGAAACATTTAACATTCATGTAAATGAAGGATTTTTCATTTGTTCTTGTGTGTTGGCTTGTTTTTCCTTTAATGTATGTGTTAAATTTCATTTCTACAAAGTATTTCCTAAACCTACTTGCTACCAGAAACTTTTGCCTGCATGAATACTACCACATGTATTTAAGCAAACTACAAATAGGATAAACATGCAGAAGTGTGACATTTTAGCTTTTATTTTAATATGTAAAACTAATCATAAAGTAGATCAATATGAAATTTATGATAAAGTTAAACTAGTAGAAAAAAAAAGGGAAACTAATAGCTTTATTTGTGATATTATACCACAATTTATTTATTGTCTTTCATATGGTTTTCACTTAGGATTGTTCTCAATTAGGTGATTGCTTTTTGTAAAATAGTAATAGAAAGAAAATGCCTATAAAAAGATTTGGAAACTTAAGTTATTTATGTTGGAAAAAAGTATTCATGAACACTTGCTGGTATGTAAATCAAGTACTCATTAAATTGTACATGTAATAAGAAGTGGTTTGTCAAAAATAAATGATTAACCTCCATCAACTAAGAGTTCTTTATGGGTGAATAAGAAACAGTATGTAGAAAAGCATATAAATGATTATCTTATAGAGATTATAATTTGGAAATTAGAAATGGTAGGTTGAAGGTTCAACAGTTATACATTTGATAATTCATGAAAATAAATGATACTTTAAAGTTTAGCTGTGATTATCTTATATATAAATATATAGATTCTGGTCATTAAGAATAACTTCTACCTGTATCAAGCATTTCAGATAGTTAATTTTTTTATCAACAACTCGTGTTTTTATTAAAGGAATAATCCTTTCCCAAAAAAAATGCTAGAATTTTTTGTATATTGCTTGTTTCTTGTAGATTAATATTGCTGAGAAGTTATGGATTGGTTAATCATGTGGATTTATATTGCTGAGAAGTTATGGATTGGTTAATCATGTGGATTTATATTGCTGAGAAGTTATGTATTGGTTAATCATGTGGATTTATATTGCTGAGAAGTTATGTATCGGTTAATCATGTGGATTTATATTGCTGAGAAGTTATGTATTGGTTAATCATGTGGATTTATATTGCTGAGAAGTTATGTATTGGTTAATCATGTGGACTTATATTGCTGAGAAGTTATGTATTGGTTAATCACGTGGATTCATATTGACAAGAAGTTATGGATTGGTTAATCACGTGGTTTGATATTGACAAGAAAGTATGGATTGGTTAATCACGTGGATTGATATTGACAAGAAAGTATGGATTGGTTAATCATGTGGTTTGATATTGACAAGAAAGTATCGAGTAGTTAATCATGTGGATTGATATTGACAAGAAAGTATCGAGTAGTTAATCATGTGGATTGATATTGACAAGAATGTATGGATTGGTTAATCACGTGGTTTGATATTGACAAGAATGTATGGATTGGTTAATCACGTGGTTTGATATTGACAAGAAAGTATGGATTGGTTAATCACGTGGTTTGATATTGACAAGAAAGTATGGATTGGATTAATCATGTGGATTTATATTGACAAGAAAGTATGGATTGATTAATCATGTGGATTTATATTGACAAGAAAGTATGGATTGGTTAATCATGTGGATTGATATTGACAAGAAAGTATGGATTGGTTAATCACGTGGTTTGATATTGACAAGAAAGTATGGGTTGGTTAATCATGTGGATTGATATTTCTAGATAATGTGGTTTGTTTTAGACACACAATAGTAATTACTAAACTAATACAAGTCAAACTAGGTTTCACATATTATGAGGTAGAAATAATAATGATCTTATAATGGCTTATAAATGTACAACGTTTCGACAAGGTTTTGTCATCATCAGGTACAAAACCTTGTCGAAATGTTGTACATTTGCTGTTATATTAAAGTTTTTCTTCATTACCCATTCAAGCCGTCTCCAGCCATTATTAGTCTCAAAGTGGGTTCCTCGTCATCGAATAATGATCTTAAGTTAAAATTGTGGATCAAGTCATTTAAATACTGAGTTAGTGTTTTACTTTAGCTGAGAAAGCAAGCTTAGAGTTGGGAATTATCAGCATCAAAAGAGAAGATATCTTTTTATACCATTTCACTTTTTTTTTCCCCAACAGAAAATTTGGTATTTTATGGTATATTAATACAATTGATATGACTTATTAAAATCTTTATCACAGTGTATTAAGCCTTGTTGATAAAAATTATGATTAGTATTTCTAGTAGTGTTTATACTTTTCTTATTTTCCAGAACGAAGATATTTAGTTTGACTACTGACTATGGAGTAGATTACATAGCCAACTGTAGGCAAACTGGATTTCACCCTCACCCAAGTGAACCTCCTTTGTATGAAGTAAGTTTCTATAAAACCAGCAAAATAACTTATCTTGGAACTCTGTAATAATGAAGCTTTACATTATACATTTTTCATAACAAATAACACTTATTTATTAACTCTTTCAGCATGGGCTCAGTCCCTGGGACTGACCTCGTAACCATTTTGTGCTTGTTATAGTTTTCTTGCTATAACTTTTAAATTAGTAAGCGAATGTTAACGAAATTTGGCAGATTATCAGTAAACATTACAATGCTTTCTTAGGCAAAATATCATTTTTTTTTTATTAAGTCTTAAGGTTTTTTAAGCAATGTTTTTCTCGTGTCTATTTTTCCTTTTTGCATGATGTTTATCTAACATGCAAAATAATATTCATTTTAAGATTAAAAATACTTTTATGGATTAGAAAATTTTAAAATTTCACATGCAAAATCTTTATAATGTTTAAATAGTTATCAAACATTTCTTAAGAAAAAAACTTTATATTTTATCTATTATTTTCAGTAATTAATCTCTGTACAAGTTCAGTAGATTTGACCGGTCTCTAATTTTTAATTCGTTCAAAACTATAGACTTAGTATTTTGACTTCACAAACATCTAATTTGAACCAGTGCTGCATTTAACATACCACGTGACACACACAAATCAATATTTATGTTTTTTTTAATATTTGCTTTTAAATTAAGAAATTGAGTAATATATAGTACTAAAATTTGATTTATAATCTACAGTTTGATACCAAAATTATTGACATAAGTTCGTGAAACAGTAGTTCAATAACATTTTGAATGAGAGTCAACAAATGAGATGACATGGTCTTTCACCTGTGACCTGTCTCAAAAGGGTTAAAATTCAATGAGTTATGAAAAATTAATGGGAAAATTAGTTTTATATTTTCCTTACTGAATTTGTTAACTAATGAATAATCATGAAGATTGTAATGACCTTGTTCATTATAAAGGGGGGCCCAGCATAGCCAGGTGGTTTGGGCGCTCGACTCGCAATCTGCAGGTCGTGGGTTCGAATCCCCATCCCACCAAACATGCTCACTCTTTCAGTCATGGGGGTGTTATAATGTGACGGTCAATCCCACTATTCGTTGGTAAAAGAGTAGCCCAAGAGTTGGCGGTGGGTGGTGATGACTAGCTGCTTTCCCTCTAGTCTTACACTGCTAAATTAGGGATGGCTAGCACAGATAGCCCTCGTGTAGCTTTGTGCGAAATAAAAAACAAACAAAACAAAATTATAAAGGGTTTATTTTGTATTTTTGTCTTAGTTTAATCTTTTCCCTACCTCTTGCTTTCTAAGTAAAGTAAGAAACAGCCAATATTATCTCTTAAATAGTCATCTAGTTGGAAATATCTAAAAGGTCAGCATCTATGAGAACAACCTCTGGGATATTCACCTCGTACTCAACTTTAACTTCATCATGGAGTTATCTGGTTATTTTGATGTACTAAGCTCATTGCGTTAAGTTAACCCTCATACTTCAATAGCTTACATCTGGTAGATGGTATACTCGTATCACTTTTTTGCCCTTATTTTTACAGATACCTCAAAATTAAAGATCCATCTCATAACTTCCCATAATTTATAACTTAGTGTTATTGGTTGTATTATCATTTTTGTTGCATTTTGTAGGCATTATTTTCATATTTTACAGAATGAACATCATAGGCTCGGAAGTGCTATTTATATAGTTTACTTCCTGATGATGATTTATTTATTAAATTGATTTGTTTATTTTTTACTACATTTGCTACATTTCTTTACAGCTATACATGGGTATTATGAGGAGTAATTATCCATAACTTCTCATCAAAGCAAGCTACTTATTTGGATTAGGACTAAAAAATAACCTAGTGATTAATATAACTAATTTAGTGTATCAGTTTAACTAGGAGAATGCATTGATCTGCCAGTTGGCTACCTGTGCTGTTAGATATTTTGAGGAGTAATGTTCTAGAAACTATTTGGAGATTACTATATAAAATCTATTTCAAAAACTGCACATTAAAATAGTTTTATATTCTTTATGAAAATCTTGTTTCATTGATACAATTTCTGTCGTGTAAGACATTAAGTCTTTTTCAACTGATCACGTCCTCAGTTAATTTTGTTTTAGTTCCAACACAGTTTTATTTTCCCAAAGGGAATTTTTGTAGGAAAACAATATAAAGTTGAAATACATCTTAAAACTCAAATCCTTAAAACTCTCAAATACAAGAAATGAGTGAGTGTCCCTACATGTTGCCCATTTTTTGTTTATATTTAATAATTTGTTTTCACTTTAATACATGTTCGTATATAATAGTATATGTAAACTATATTCTTTGTTTTTGTTTAATAGACCATACTTTACTTGTCCTACGAAACAGTCTTTTTTTTCTTTCTTAAGAATAAGAGAAAACTGAAAAGAAAGAAAATTACAAAAAATTCACATTTACATTTATTTTCGTTTTAGGAGAGTACACATGTTGAGCTGGATAGCAGAATGGATGTTAAGCTGGTGGATCTAAGAAAACGGTGAAGTAAATGTTAGACATTTCCTAAACGTCTCTTCACAGTGTTGAGTTTTACACACTGTTGTTTTTTCTGAAGCTTATTGCATGCTACTAGGTTAACACAGAAACATTGATTATATAATACAAGCATCATTTTAGAGACACTTGGTGTTTTCTGGTAGGATAGAAACACAAAGGTTTTGTGAGCTACTAGAAGATAGCCAGAGCACTATTAAACTGAAATAAGTTGATTTTTTTTTTTAAATCATTGCTGCATGTAAATAAAGTATTAGTCCCCTTTGTAACCTCAAGTACATTTCAGTACAAAACCATATCTCACTCCTATGTAATATTTTTGTGCTACTAAAACACGTTATTCATTCCTAAGTTATGTAAAAAAAAAGACATATTTATAATTTCACTGAGATTTGGTTTTAAAATGCTTATATTGTGGAGTAACGATTAACAACAAAAATATTTTGGATTTTTTTTCAAAAATAGTATTAACAAAAATAGCAAAAAAATTTACTTACATTTAATCAATGTGATAGATGAATATTTATAGCAAGCTGGTGCTGATATGAGGCATAAAAGATGATTTGTGAATAAAAAAATAGCAAATAATGGCTTCTAAACATTGTAAGACCTACCTACAATAGTATACAGAATTTCTCTCATCATACCAGATATTTAAACAGCATGATGAGCCTTATTTTTTTTTAAACACCATCTAGAGATTAACATTTACATTTTAATTCACTGAGATTAGGTAGGAAGTGCTTTTATTCCAAGCTTGGAGGTTATATGTTTTTCTTCATAAAAGTTAATAAAAACAACAAACCAGGATGTGATGTGGGTATAGGGAGTATTAGGTAATGACATTGATAAAAGCTAGACATGAAGTATCTGAAGTTATATATTTGTCTTGCTTTTGTACATGTGATTTTTTTTTATTAAGAATTGGTAACCTAACCAATCTACTCAATAGCTTTAGTAACAGTAATAAAACAATGCAAAATTCTGGTGAAATTAATAAATTGGTCTGTTTTATTGTATTTCCCGTATGAGAAAGTTCTTCATAACCTTGTCAATAAAAACAACTTGAACTGTTTATTAAAGGAATCGTATATTTATGTTGTAGCATTTTATCTCAGTTTTGACAGTAGATACAGAATCCACTAAAACCAGTTTAATACTTCTTTCCTTTTATAATCTTTCCAAAATAGTTGATGAAATATATATAAATGTTATCATTCACTTGGTGTAAGGCCATTAATCTGGTAATGTTTGGAGGTATATATTTAACCTACAGTCACTAGCTAGCATCGTGTAGTTATTGTAGAATACTACGTCACCAATGAGATGTTTTTTTATTTTTGTCATGTCTTATGAAAATTTACAAAGTGGAGAAATGAAATTTAAATATGCTGTGTTTTGTTTGTTTTGGTATGAATGAAACTAAGAATATATTTCAATATAATATTACTGATCAGAAATAGAAAGTACTATAGCAGTTGATTGCATTCCTGCCACATAAGCCACGTTATGTTTTACTGGAAAAAATGTCATTGATTAACTTATATATATAAAGTGAAAGTGAAGTAAATATGACATGCATTACTATCATCATAACTGGAAATTGTTAATATACATTAGGTAATTTGTATCATTGTGTTTGGAATTCATAATTTGTGCTTAAAGGCACTTAGGCCAGGCTTAGAAGTGGTTCATTCCATGCATTATTGGAGATATTTGCAATAGGTCTTTCCTACTTAACACACTTCTGAAATCATTGGATATTATATAAGTGGTCAGGTAAGAGTCGGTATGAGTTTCAAAGACTGTTGCTAAATTAACGTAAGGTATTACAATAATTACGACTTGCATCTGTGCCTTTATAGTCACAGTGTAATATTAGTTGTAAAGACGTTTTGATATAGCTTATCAAATTTACAATTCTGATCTTATCAGTGATAAGTCCTAAGAAATAAATTGAGTTTAAGAATGTGTATTTGTCCACCAAAAGTATCTCTCTAAAGAATGTTATGCGTTTATAAAAAAAAAAAGAAATATATATATAGGAAAATTTAAGAGGCATTTGTTATATTAATGTATATATATCTAGGTTTTGTATGCTTGGGTTAACTTATATTGTTGGTTTTTAAGTGCTGTTCTAGCCTGATGACCCTTTTTTTGAAGCATGTATATGCAGAATTAGTTTGAGATAGAAAGGATTAATTTGAATTTTTTTTAAAGAAATCTTAGTTAGAGAAATGTGATTCATTCAGAAGATTCAGGGGACATCATCTTGCTTATTTGAAGGTGAATTCCCATTCTGTCAGCACAGTTACAAACTTTATGATTGGTGGTTTTTGCCTTTAAATATTTTGAAATAGGTAAAAACATTTTCTACAAACAATTTCAAACAGATAAATGAAGTCAATTAAGTTTAGCAAGATTTGCAATAGCTTAACCCTTTCACTTTGCAATTAATTTTCAGGCTGATTCCCAAAAAGTGTCAATTATTCACCAAAAAATAAAAGTATGAATTTGACCCTTTGTATTACTCTTTCAATATCTGATGGTAGTATTCCTTGAAAATGAAAACTGTATTGGATAGTGAAAAATAATGATTTAAACAAAAAAAAACTGAGGAAAATTAGGAGAAAAGTTTTTTCAGTAAATAAATATAGGCAAAACTAAGTCAGTAAGAGGCCAAACTCATTACAAAATATAAAACAAATTGATTAGATGACAATATCCAAGATGTATATAAGCTGTCTTTATACAGATTCTGTATGTGTTCCTACAAAGTTGACAGTTTTGTAATGAGGCACCAAAATATACATGTTTCATGGCATAGAACACAGATGGCAGCACGAATGCAGGTTTGGCGATTGTTTTAAGTACAGGGGGGATATTCCCACATGTCTAAGTAGAGAGAGACTTTTTTTTTGGTAGCCATGGGTTAAATCTGAATTTCGCAGTTGGTGGATATAAATGTTTGTTTGGATATATCAAAACTATAGAGCAAAAGGGTGAAATGCTGATCTCTGCCTGTGGATTAATCTTTCTTTTAAGAAGAAAAAGTAAAGTAATTTAACATGTATCAAAAAGATTTTATTCTTTGCTTAATTTTATAATTTATCAATGAATTGTTTTTCAGGAAATTAAATGTATAAAAATTGTTTTTCTGGTGTCATATGTGTCAAGTATTGGTGTTTGCTAATGCAATACAAACTTTGCTTTATGTATACTTCTGTTGTCATTTCAGACTTGACACTTATTTTTTGGTCATAATTTTTACCTGAATTCCTAATCTTTTTTTCTTCTTCTGTTAGTAAATTAGTGGAGATATACTTTTCATTTTTTAACATTGTTAAGTGCTTCACATATAAAAGTTTTCCAAGCCTTGCATGTTACTGATGATGTTATTGTACCTGGGATGAGCAAACAGAGGGAGAGAGAGAGAGTGTGTAATTTATAAGTGAAAACAAGGGATGACCTGTAGAAGGCATGACTAGTTAACACTGACATAAACTTATTACCAGCAAACATAATCTGGTCAAGATACAAGACTGGAGTTGGACAAATTATGATGTGGTTTTGCTCCAACAGTACTTGCTATTGATTAAATGTACCAAGATTATGTGATAATAGTGTTTTTATTAATAAGTCTCCTATTTAAATCAAAATTTTGACTTTTGATAGATAGCAACTGTTAGAGGAGAGATTCAGGAAGTTGGAAGTGATACAAAAAAAAACAAGTTATAGTACTTTAATTTTAGTGTTAGCTTATGAACAGAACTGTATTTGAAATTATAAATTTTCTGGTTGACATACCACAGAAGGGCTGAGTATGGCCTGGTGGCTAGTGCCATGGGTGTCTTACAAAGGTGGCTATCTCATTCTTTAGTCAGACAAGAGTTGGCAGTAGGTGCTGTTGACTAGGTCCCTCGAAGTTTCTAACATTAAGTTACTGTGTGGTAGTATGGAATATGCAGGTTTTGAATGCCTCTGTTGATGATGTGTTTGGAAGATGGATGCAATACTGTAAGTAAAAGTAGATGTTAATAATTTGGTGATTTTTTTTTTTCTGTGCTAAATTGTCAAATCTGTTTTATTTAGATGATAATAAATGGTGGTACAAATTTTATTAATGACTCCATATAAGTTTTCTCCAGTTGATGAGAATATCTGGTCATTTAAATGAGGATGTTTTTCTTAACTAGTTATATTTTTTTTATGAAGATTCTTATCCTCTAATTTTATAATATGAGATGTAGACCACCATTAGTTGAGTTCATGAAGAAAAAGTTGTTGCACTAAAGTTTGGTAATAATAGAGTATCATTGCTAAATTTATTGACATTTGAAAATACTGAATGTGTATTGATCCAGTCTAAATACACATGTTACACAGCGTAATACAAGTATTTATAAAGAAAAAAATATTAGTAATAAGTCAGACCGTATTACATTTTTTAAATTTCTATTTCTACAAATTGATTCCTACTTGCTGTTTATGTATTAATCATCTTATATTATGAAACATTATCTTATCAGGGTAACTATATAATACAAAGTATTTCAAAATCTTTCAGTTCTGATTAATATCAATTTTCTATCAGTGACAATTTATTATCAAAGTGATTGTTTATAAATTGACAAATCAAGTATAATTTTCAAAATTATGAAAGTCCTCAACAGACTGCACTATAAACAAATTCCTGCAACTTGATTGGTAATAATATATTGTGCCTTTTAAATATCATGAACTAATTTATGTAAATGATAATAGTGCATGATTTAAAATGCTATTTCTGAAATATGTTTATAGAGATTCTGTATCAGAAGTAGTGTACGAGTTTATCCGATCAAAATTTGTAGAAATGATATTTATTAATAAATTTTTATCATTAGATAAATTTCTGCTTGCAAAAAATAGTGTTCTCAAGCTGTCCCAGATAATTATTTCAAATTATTAAGAAATATTACGTGTAATTGTGTTTCATACTGCATGATATATATCTTAACATAAGTAACGTTTCAAATATTTAAGTATCAACACTTATTTCTAAAATTTGCTATTCTTGTTATCAAAATATTTATAAATATATATATATATATATTGAGCCAATTGTGTACCATTCTGTTTAATAAAAATTGTTTACAATGGATTTTATGACTGCTTATTGGTTTTTTTTTTTTTTATATTATTGTGTTTGTACCATTGTACATGTAAATATGACTGACTAGATGATAACTTATGTAATAAGGACTGTATTCTATTGTCTATGTATAAATGATCAGAAGTGCTCAATGGCACTTTGTTTTCAGAGTATAAACAGATAGATCTGTACTCAATATGAACTTAAGTGAGGTATTGATTCTATTAGTATGAGATTTTGTACTAAACAGTTTGTTAACATAGTTTCTGAACACCCTGTACGTGAGTCAGGATTTCTTAGTTTTGTCTTCTACATCTGTACATCTGCTCCCCTTTATCGATAATATTTACTATGTAGTTTATTGGATTTTTAACCATAGTAGGTCTATTATTTGTTGTTATTATTATTATTACTGATATTACATATTTTCTAATACATAGTAATATTACATATTACTAATTTTC